TAAAATAATGAGAGTTAATTGTGATGTTAAAGAGGCCAAAAGAGCTCAAAGAGCACTTTAGTCAGAAACATCTCACTTGTCAGATAGTTGGAGATAGCTGTCAAAGACAATATTGGATGTTAAACTGTAAGCTCAACTGTAAAATCTTTCAAAGAATCAACCGAGAAGCTAAAGGCTTAAGCACTTACTATGTGCTAGGTGTGCTATACTAGATACAGGGTATATAAATACAAAGAATGAAACACTTTTTACTATTACTTCTACTCCTATTCCTACTACATGTTTATATGGTACTTTAAGGTTTGCACATAGTTTTATAACTATTGTCTCCTACCCTGGGAAATAGATGCTATTATTATTCCCATTTTACAGTTGAGGAAATTAAGACAAACAGAAGTTAAGCTTATATTCAAACAAGGATGAACGATGGTTATGAGCAGTATCATCTCATAAAGCAGAGGATAGAGCAAGTGCAAAGAAAATGACAACTTGGTGAACCAATTTAACTCTATACTGTCCTCCTCGCTTGAATCCCTACTGCCTTATATTGCCAATTTTGCCAAGTCAAGCCTCAGCCTTGAGTCACTCCCACCATTCATTGCCTACACATGTGCTGTCGAACAAAGGTGGAGAAAATCATGCATCTCTTCTGACTGGGTCCCTTGTAAATTTGTTACACAACCTCAACTGGGCCCTCACTGCTGCTAGGCAATCCTACGCTATCTCCCATATCAACTCACTATACCACTCTTCATAATGGATCTTCTGAGCCTTATGATTAATCCTCAAACTTGCCACGATTCACTCTCCCCTCACTCTCTCAGCTGAGAACCTTGCCTCATAGTCTACAGAAAAAATTTACCATGAACTCCCTCTTAAACTCTCCTCATCTCCAGTGACTTCTACCACTATTTTTTTCCTTCACCAGTGTCTCATGTGAGTGGGGGCCTTACTCTTTACCAAGGTTAACCTCTTTTCTACCAGCACAAGTGATTCCATTCTATCCTGTGTCCTCCAACAGACTGCCTCCTTTATCATCCTTATCTGTCACTTATTTTTAATCTCTCTCTTCTGGCTCCTTTCCTGCTGCCTACAAACATGCTCATTTCTTACCCATCCTGGGGAAGAAAAAAGAAACAAACCTCACTTGGTCTTTCCATCTGTGCTAGTTGTTATTCTGGTTATCTTCTGTCCTTTTGTGGCTGAACTCCTTGAAAAGGACAGCTACAATAGAGCCTTTACTTTCTTTACTTTCACTCTCTTTTTAACCCCTTAAACTATGGCTTTCAACCTTATCATTTCACTGAAATTGCAGATCTCTTAGTTGCCAAATTCAATGGCTTTTTTTCAGTCCTTATTCTTCTTGACCTCTGCAGCCTTCAATGTTCTTGATCACTTTCTCTTCCTTGATAACTCTCTTTTATCTAGGTTTTTGGAAAACTACTTTCTCCTGGTTTTCCTTATACCTATCTGACTATTTCTTTGCTTGATCTCTACCTCCAGTCAGGATCTGTAACTGGTTCTGTCCTGCATCCTCTTCTGTTTTCATTCTGTAGTTGGTGATCTCATCAGCTCCCATGAATGTAATTACCATTTTTATGTTGATGATTCTCAAACCTACCTTTTCTTCCTCAATCTCTCCGCTGGCCTCAGGTCTCACATCTCCAACTGCTTTTCTGATATCTTGAACTGGATGTCTGGTAGACATCTGAAATTCAGTATATTCAAAACAGAACTTATTATCTTTACCTTTCCTAGTCCCTCAGGCTCACAACCTTGGAGTCATCCAGGATACCTCACTATCTCTCATACTTGAGCACCCATTTCCAAACTTTACCAAGACTAGCACTACAACAGCCTGTACGTGGGGCTGCCTGTCTCAAGTCTCTTCTTCACTCCAATCCATTCTCCATTTAGCCACTAAAGTGATTTTCATAAAATGCCAGTCTAATCATGTCACTCTCCTATCTATAAACTTCAGTGACTTCCAGTTGCCTCCTGGAGCAAATTCACAATGCTTTGTTTGGCATTCAAAGCCCTTCATAACCTGTCCCTTCCTGTCTTACACCTTTTTTGTTGTTGCTGTTATCATTCAGTCATTCAGTTGTGTAAGACTCTACATAACTTCATGAACATTATCTGTGTGGTTTTCTTGTAGAAGATACTGGAGTGTTTTGGCATTTCCTTCTCCATTGTGTCCCCATTTTTTTACAGATGAGGAACTGAGGCAAATAGGGGCTAAGTGACTTGCGTAGGGTTATGCGGCTAATGTCTAAGGGCAGATTTGAACTCAGATCTTCCTGAGTCCAGGCCTGTTGTTTACACCTTTCCAACATACTTTATGGTTCTGTGACACTGACCTCCTGGCTATTCCATGAACAAGATGCTTTATCTCAGCCACAGGCATTTTCTCTGGCTGTCCCCAGTACCTAGAATTCTCTTCCTTTTCCATTCTGACTACTGACCTCTCTGGCTTCCATTAAGGCCTAACCAAAATCCCATCTCCTACAGGAAGCCTTCCCCAAATCCCTCTTTAATTCCAGTGCCTTCCCTCTGTTAATTATTCCTTTTAATCCCCTATATATCTTCTTTGTATATATTTGTTTATGTGTTGTTTTCCCCTATTAGATTGTAAGCTCCTTGAAGGCAGGGAGTGTCTTTTGGCTTTTTTTATCCCTGATGCTTAGCACATAGTAGTCTCTTCATAAATGTTTATTGAATTGAATTGAAGTTATCCAGCTAATCAAAGTCATTCCAGGGGCATGCAAGGGTGAAAATGGAAAGAGGACTACAAAAAATGGAGAAAAAATGGAAAATATTTGTAAAAACTACCTCATATATTTTCTCCATCAGGGATAGCAGAATCACAACACTTCAATTTTGACATCACAGTTCCTAAGATGCTTATAGAGGAGATGTGAATGTAATTAGAGAAAACAAAGACAGGAAAAACAGCCAGATTTGACCAAATATATATGAGTTTTGGAAGATATAAGCAAGGTTTTATAAAGATTATTCAGTAGTAGACCACAACTTTACCATCTCATAATTAATTGAAAGATGTAGAAAAAATAAGGTCCCTTTATGATTTTTTTTTTATTGATTAGGAAAAAGTTTTTGAATTGGAACAAAATACTTCCTTACAGGCTCTTCTACCATATAGTTCTCCTTTCCATAATTAAAAGCTTCAAAATTCTTTGGAATATCTAATAATAGAATTAAGTCTGTTCATTGATCCTCTGATAAGCATCAGGTGGGATATAAAACAGTGCACTTGTTCAGTTGTTTAGAGTAGTTTTTGACTCTTTGTGACTCCATTTGGGGTTATCTTGACAGAGATATGAGAGTGGTTTGCCATTTCCTTCTCCAGAAGAGGAAACTGAGGCAAACAGAGTTAAGTTACTTGTTCATGGTCACACAGCTAATAAGTATCTGAGGCTGGATTTGAACTCAGGTCCTCCTGACTCTAGGGCTGGTGCCACTACGCACTGTGCCACCTAGCTGCCCCTAAAAACAGGGAGCTATTTACTCACTAAAGATATTCAACACTTGGCAGAGATACAGTGCAGAGTCTAGGTCAAGAAAGGATTCTCTGTAAATGGTGAGATCCTCCAGATGCTTCTGTTTTTTAGATAATGACATGGCAGATTATATCAAGCCCCAAGATACTGCAGAGCTTCTTTGGGGCAAGTGAGTGGCAAAGTGGATAGAGTACTGGGACTAGAGTCAGGAGGACCTTAGTTTAAATCTAGCCTCAGACACTTTCTAGCTGTGTGACCCTGGACAAATCCCTTAACATCTACTGGCCTCATTTTCCTCATCTGCAATGTGGAGATAATAATAGTGCCTGCCATCCAGGGTTGTTGTGAGGATCAACTGAGCAAATATTTCTAAAGCACTTAGCACGGTGCCTGGCACTTAGTGGGTGTTATATAAATGCTAACTATTATTAGCTATTACCATTATTATTATTATTGAAGAGATCTGTAATCACTTAAAGAATTTGACCGGCCCATCTGCACCAGAAAAATTAAGTTTGTGATTAATAGTCTAGATTTCAAAATGTGTTTGGATAGGCATCCCATAGAGATTTTCCAACAGGGTATATATTTGGGACAGACAGAACAGATGGACAGTTAGGTCCAGAGTTGAAAAGGAAAATAGACTAGGTTGTTTTGAGGAAATTACAAATCTTTTACTGATGCCAAACTTCCTAAGAAAACAAAGAGTCATCTTTTCAACAGTAAGTAACTAGGTTTACTGGTGTTGCTATATGGAAATAAGACATAGAACACTACTGCCTCAGAAAAACTCTGTCATACAGATGGCAATGGAGTAGGTCTCGGGGTGATTAGCTATAACAGATAAGCAAAAGGAACTTCAAAGAAGGATAGATGTAAAGGAAATTATCAAATAATTTTATTTCAGGAAAAGATGGGTTGGTCATGTGACAAAAACAATGAATGATGGGTGGGCAACCAGAGTGTTCTACTTGTGCCCTGGTGATATTGGGAGGAAAGTAAAGAAAGCCTACAGAATCTCGAGTTAACCTGCATCAGACTTTTTGGAAAATATGGACAAGAGATGCATAGAATGGGTAGGCATGGATGAGTAACGATCAGCATATTTGAAGGGAACTTTTGAATCAGTGAGATTAGAGATGTTTGAGTATTTGAATATAAGGACAAAATATCCAGTAGAACTATCAAAGATGAAATAGGGCTTTCCTCGTGCAAGTAATCAACTCTGTCACTAGAGATATTCATGTAGGAGCTTGATGATAATATATCAAGGATCTCATAGAGGGAATTCCTGCATTTGATAGAATATTGGAGTGGATAACCTATAAATTGTCAATGTTATATGGGATAGAATTGTTTTATATCCTTTGAATCAGGATATATCACTTCGATTATATGTTATGTGAGCTATATCATTGAGTTTTCCTTTTATGTATTGTATGGTCTAAAACTTTTTTCCACTTTTTTTTTAAATTACAGAAGGCCTTACGGCCTGATATGGGCTATAATACATTAGCCAACTTTCGAATAGAAAAGAAAATTGGCCGTGGACAGTTCAGTGAAGTTTACAGAGCAGCCTGTCTCTTGGATGCAGTACCAGTGGCTTTAAAAAAGGTGCAGGTAAGAACATTTTTACAGATTAATATAAAGTTATTACATGTGAATAAGAATCAAAATACAAACTTTGAAAGCTCTGGGTTGAATTTAATATATACTTTAAAAAAGCAAGTTGTACATAATAAACCTTCAGTTTCATGTGTAGTCCTTTTTTCCGTTTTACTGTGTATATGCAAATGCCCAGTTGTTTTGATGGTTGGTAAATTCAGAATAAAAATTAAAATTTAAAGATAATTAAAATCTAGGTTTTTTGGAATGGTTGGGAGTCTTATTTTCTCAGAAAGGATCACATTACTATTTAATTTGGAATGTTTAAAAAATATGAATGGCATAGTGATACCTTGATAGAACACCAGTTTCTTTAGTATGAATACTGTTGCCCTTGATATAGAGTGCAGCCACTTCATGCCTTCTCTTGCTTTATTGTTCCTGTGCATGTTTTTTTTTCCTAAATAAATCTTCCACTAAGGATTTATTGATATATTGGAAGCCAACTTCTCATTCTTCTTGTCTCTCAGGGCATTAAGGTATTACCTTGGCTGACTATCATTTGTCATTCTCATCGTGATTATTCTAGTCTTTTCTTGGTCATGTATATCCTCATGTCATTTACATTGTTTCTTCTATTTAAATCTTAATTGGCAACAGGTAGCAGTTGAACTTATTCTGTACATTTCCATTAATGGCCTTTTTAAGTTATCATTTCAACTAATCTCATCTCACATGAGTTATCTGTAAAGCACTTAGCACAATGCCTGGCACATAGTAGACACTTCATAAACACTTGTTCCCCTCCTCTTCTGAGATTGCATTGTGCCATGATTTGGGGGCCACATAATGATATTAGGAAAATATGGCTGTTAAGAATATGGGCTTTAGTTTAAGCAAGCTCTTTGGGTTCATTGAAATCACCTCACAGTTTTTCAAGTGTCATTTCCTCAATTCTTGGACCTAATTTATTAGTCATATGCAATACAACACACACACACACACCACACACACACACACACACACACACATACCCCCCCCCCCAATTTGATGGACTTCTCAACCAGCTGAATGCCGCAGTCTAATCTAAAGATAAGGGCCATTTAAAAAAATCCAATTTGTTTTTCAAGGGTGGATGATTAATCTCTGACATTAATGAGAATTTCAATATAATATTATAGGGTTTGATGCAATTTTGATGATATCATCAATCAATAAGAACATTTTACTACAAATTTATGTTATGTAATCTCAACTGGTCTCTCACTGAAACAAGGAAATCTTATAATACTTCTATAATTGATTTGCCATCCAACTTACAATAGCACCTTTTCATTCTACATCAAGTTTCCTGTGGTATCCATTCCCTCCCCTTTCAGCTGAGGTCCTCTCTTTATACTTTGCTTTAAAAAAATTGAGGCCGTTCATCAAGAACTACTTTTACCCTCCTTCTCATTTCGTATTACTAGGACTTCTTCCCTCGCTGTCTCTTTTACTCCATCTTACATGAAGAGGTGTCCATTTTCCTTGCCAAGGCAAACTGCTCTACATACGCCATCAGTCCCAACTTCTGTCTTTTGCAGCAGATTGCCCCCACTGTGTTTTCTACTTTCAACTTCAGTCTCTCTCTGTCTACTGGCTCCTTCTCTGCTGCCTACAGACATACTCCATGTTTCCCTCACCTCTTTAAAAAAAAAATCTCTGACTTGTTTCTGTCATTCTTTATCTCTCTCTCCTCGACCTCTTTGCTGAATGCCTTGAGTAAACTGTCTATCAGGTGCCTCGGTTCCTATATTCTCACTCTCTGTACTGCAGTGTAGGTTCCAGTTTCACCATTCAACTGAAACTGCTTACCAGAGTTATTAGTGCTCTCTTAATTGCTAAATTTAGTGACTTTGTCTTAATCCTCATCCTTCTTAATCTGTTTGCTGCGCTGGACAATATTGTTTGGCAACTTCTCTTGGATGTTAACTCCTCTCCATGTTTTCATGACATTAATCTCTTCAGGTTCTCCTCTTACCTGTCTAAAGCTCCTTCTCAGTGTCCTTTGATGGATCTTTATCCAGGTCATGCAGCTAACCGTGAGTGTTCCCAAGCCTACTTCTCCACTCTTTTCTGCTTTTCCTTGTCTCCTATCTTACTCTGTGATCTCATTAATTCCTGTGTGCTCAGTTATTTTCTTTTTGCATATGATTCCTAGATATACATCTAAAATATATATACACATATGTATGTACATATTTTTAGATATACACACAGACGTATGTATATTTAAATCAAGGCTTACTCTCTCCCCTGGACTCCAGTACCTAATCACCAGCTGCCTGTAGGACATCTTGAATTGGATGACCCATAGGCATTTCAAACTCAGCATTTCTAAAACAGAACTCATTAGCTTTCTTTTAAAAAAGTTCTAAACTTAAATGTCAAAGAAAAGAGTGCTTCTATGTACTTAGCAAAACACAACAAAGGACTTCTGTAAAACTGAATCTGCAGCTCTGTTGGAGATTCTGTTTGTTTTAAAAAGTAGATGATAAATTCCATGTTACTCTCAAAATTGTCCTGCCAATCTCTGCTCCCCTCTGAATTTTGTTTTTTATGAAATTAGGGAAAAAAACCAAACATTTCAGTGACCTGCTTTTCTTTGATATCACTTTTGCCAATCCTCCCTCATTCCTTAACTCCCTCCTCTGATCAAAAACTGGGAGAAAAAATTAAAAAAAAACCCTTTGTAACAAATAATTATAGTCATGAAAAATCCATACAGTAGTCCTATCAAAACTGTGGATCTTTTTATGTACCTTGAATCCATCTGTGTCACGAGATGGGTAATGTGTTTCATCGTAGGTCTTCTGGAGACCTGGTTGGTCATCACATTCTTAAGCATTAAGGTGTCATGACCTTGTATAAATTGTTCCACTGATTCTGCTCACTTCACTATGAATTGTTTCATTTTATCCAGGATTTCTTTAACTTGTCTCTTTCCTCATTTCTTGTAACATGATAATATTCCTTTATATTCATATATCACAGCTTGTTCAGTCATTCTCCACTTGATGGGTATCTCACTTTGCTTCTAAAAGCTCATTATCTTTTCCCAAAACTCTTCCCTTCTTCCTAATTTTGCTAATACTGTTGAAAGCACTACCATCCTCTTAGTTACCTAAGCTAGGGGTTAGTAAACTATGACTTTTGGGCCAAATGCTGCTCACCCATCTATTTTTGTGTAGTTTTCAAGCTAAGGATGATTTGTACATTTTAAAATAAATGTAATAAGAAATGCAAATGGATAATTTTGGTCACATTAAATTAAAAAGGTTTTGCATGAACAAAACCAATGCAGCCCGGATTAGAAGGAAAAGAGAAAGCTGGAAAACAATTTTTATAGCAAATGTTTCTGATAAAGGCCTCATTTCTAAAATATATGGAGAACTGAATCAAATTTATAGACTACAAGTCATTCCCCAATTGATAAATGCTCAAAGGATATGAACAGACAGTTTTCCATTGAAGAAATTAAAGCTACAAGTGGTCATATGAAAAAATGGTCTAACTACTGATTAGAGAAATGCAAATTAAAACAACTCTGAGGTACCACCTCACATCTATCAGATTGGATAATTTGACAGAAAAGGAAAATGATAAACATTGGAGATGTGGGAAAATTGGAACACTAATGTATTGTTGGTGGAGTTGTAAACTGATCCAACCATTCTGAAGAGTAATTTGAAACTATGCCCAAAGGACAAACAAACTCTGTATACCCTTTGATCCAGCAATACCACTACTAGGTCTGTGTCCCAAAGAGATCATAAAAAAGGGGAAAAGACCCACATGTACAAAAATATTTATAGTAGCTCTTTTTGTAGTGGCAAAGAGTTGGAAATTGAGGGGATGCCCATTAATTGGGGAATGGCTGAGCAAGTTGTGGTATGAATGTAAAGGAATACTATTGTTCTATAAGAAATGATGAGCAGGAGGATTTCAGGAAAACATCGAAAGACATAAATGAACTGATGCTGAGTGAAGTGAGCAGAACCAAGAGAACCTTGTACACAGTAACAGCAACATTGTGAGATGATCCACTGTGATTGACTTAGCTCTTCTCAGAAATAGTGATCCAAGAAAATTCCAAGGGACTCGTGATGGAAAATGCTGACCACATCCAGAGAAAGAACTATGGAGTCTGAATGCAGATTGAAGCATACTATTTTCACTTTTGTTCTGTTTCTTCTTTAACAACATGGCTAATGTTAAAATATGTTTAGCATGTAACACTGTAACCTGAATCAGATTGCTTGCTGTCCTGGGAAGGAAAGGAGAAAAATTTGGAGCTTAGAATCTTACAAAGGTGAATGTTGAAAACTGTCTTTACATGTGATGAGAAAAAAAAATACTCTTAAGGTTAAAACAAATAAATGTAATAAAAATGTACAAACCTTCTTTAGCTTGCAGGCTATACAAAAGCAGGCAGAAATCATTCTTAGCTCGCAGGCCATACAAAAAGAGGCAGCAGGTCAGATATGACCATGAGCTGTATTTTACTGATCCTTGACCTAGGATCTCAACCTTGGTAGCATTGTCTTCACCTGACTTTAACTCAGTGCACATTCCCAATCCATTCTCAAATCATGACATTTCTACCTTCACGGTGTTTCTAACATATATCCTCTTATCTCCACTCACTCATCTACCACCTTAGAGAATGGTATTTACCACCTCTTGCCTGAACTATTGAAATTACATCCTGGTTGGTCTCTCTCTCTCTCTCTCTTAAATCTTCCCCAGCTTTAGTCCTTCTCTGCTGAGCTGCAAAGTGATATTCCTAATGCATAGATCTGACCCTGTGACTTTTCTACTCAATAAACTCAACAAATTGTATGCCTGTTGCCTCCGAGATCAAATATAAAATCCTCTTTGGCATTTAAAACCCTGAGTGCTTCCTACCCTTCTAGTCTTATACTTCACTCATTTCCATGTAGACCATGATCCAGTGACACTAGCCTACTTGCTGT